CTTGGCTTTCAGCGTGGCTCAGCCGAGCCAAGGCATATGCCTTCAGCTCGACTGAGCCGCTCAGCCAAGTTCGGGAGATGTACGGGCTATAGGGAATAGCCCGTACAGCAGCCCTTCGGTTTTACTGAACCGAAGGGGTCCTGGGGCCGAAGCTAGCTGAAGGATCGGCCGAAGCTACGGCTAGATCCTTCGGCTGCTTTGTGAATAGACCCCATAGAGTAGGAGTTAAGTGGACAGATCGTGATAGGGAGTTCCAGAGGATGGGAGAGGCTCTTGAGAAGTCCTGGAGGTGAGTATGGGAGGAGGTGACGAGAGGGCGAGAGAGCAGGAGGTTAGGAGGAAGGAAATAAGTATTGGTTTGATTCTATTGTTTTATGTTTCCAAGAGGTATGTTTGGTGACTTTTGATGGCAAAGCAATGCAAATAAAAGCTTCTTCTGTATTACCAGTTCAGTGTAGCCTCTATGCAGCAAACAATAATAAAAAAAGGAGCCAATGTACAGAAGGTTTTTACTTTTGGTTTTATTATTTTAGTATGAAGGTGAAATAAAAATAGGACAAAAATAAATAAAATAATCAGTTCACAAAAACCTAGAAAAGTAAACTAGACGTTTCTTCTATCTCTTGGTGAGATCTCTGCGTTGAGTTCCGCGGCCTGCACTGTGCCTATTATAAGCGGTATCTCTCTGTGTCTGTTGGGGTCTCTCTTTCATTTTATACTACATAAAATGCAACAGGATGATCTGGAACACACCAAGGAGGCCGGGAACACCCAAATCTATCAGGTGGACAGGAATGGAGTCGGAAATTATGGAAGGAAGGTTTTTGCTGTTGGAACATCTACGACATAATGCTTGACTTGGTCCATCACGCTTCACCAACATTCTTTTGGGTTCAGTGGCCCTTTAAATAGCTGCACCATGAATATTTTTTTAAAAAGAGCGGTAATTTCACAATGTCAGAACCTGATCTTCTGAATTCCATAGTCTGTAGTCAGGTCTTTCATCTTTGCTTCTGACAGCTCGCTGGTAGAGTTGTAAATGGTGTTGACTTTTTGGGTAAAACTGGCATATGGCTCCACATCTTCGACAATCTAATAGAAATGTGAAGAAAGTAATGATCAGTTGGCAGTTAGCAAATTTTATGCAATAAATTTCCCAACATTCCTAATTTTAAAATGTTTTTGAGTTACGTTCCAAATGAGTAATAGTCGGGAGCTATGGTTAAATAAATAAAAAAGCTTTTGCTGTAATATTTACCTTCAATCCAGAGTTGAATGTTTTTTTGGGAGAATAATGCCAAAAAATGAATATTCTTGTTGTAATAATACATTATGACCACTAGATGGAGCTATCTTAACAGTTCAGCTTTCAAAACATGACAACACATACATGTGAACTGTGATGGTACAGAACTCACTACGCACTTCATGTTGGGGCTGGAAGTACAGTAGAGGGGAAAAGAAAATTGAAGAAACCTCCACATGTATATGTGAAAAAAGTAGTGAAAATTATATTCTTAGCCAATAAGCTTCAGGGCTATGACCCCCATTTAGGGACCAATGCATGGTTAATGAATTAAAGGCTTGTGGTTGTCATTCATTGGCTGAAAACATTCTGAATTAATAGTACTTGAATATTTCCTCATAAAACTGGTTTCTATTCATCTGAAGCGTGTCACCAAGCTTACGTACAACTACAAATATTTTCTGATGCGTATTAATATGACAAGAATACAATATCACGTTGCAGGTCACGGGAACATTTTATCATTTCTTACCACAGTGGGATTTTCCTGCGGTTCCGAAGTGTTTCCTCTTTTATTTGCAGAGAAAGTCCTACAGAAGAGAGAATTTTTTTTTAGTTACGGTGACCTTCTCTGTTTACATGAACAGAACTGACAACTTTTTTAGATGAGAAAGAGGGACACCTTCCAGCACAATGTACACGGCCTGGCCAAAAAAAAAAGTCACTGCCTGGATTTCGGGCAGTGTTATGATCTGAGGTTGCTTCAGTTGGTCCGATCTAGGTTCAGCAACACTATGCCCCCAAAAAATGAGGTCAGCTGCCTACTTAAATACAATGAACGACCAGGTTTTTCCATC